GGGGGGCTACCGCCCTCCCCCCCCGCCCCCCCGCCCGGTACGCCTATGATTCCTCGCTCGTGTGAGCTGCTAAATAATGCGAGAACTATAAAGTAGCAAATTTAGTAATGATCCATATTCCTGAGAATTTGATCGGAATTTTATAAAACACTAGCCCAGCAAGTTGTCTGCATTGTTGGAAAATGTTGTATTTTTGTGTGAAGTTCAAACATTCCAACTACACAGAACCACAGTTAGAACTCAGGGCATTTTTTAACTATATAACTACTGGGGCATTTACCCCAGTAGTCCCTTTGCTTGCCCCAGTAGTGAAGCATGATTTTCAGACGAACAGGGCCCTTTTGATGATTAGTAAAAAGTTAACCTTTTTGAGAATGCTGCATCTGCCTGCTTTCTCATATTCTCTCACATTGTCGACATTAATCGGCAAGGGCGGTGCTAAAAGTTAGTTTGGGTGTAGAACACCCCCAATGGCCCAATCGTCAAATAGTCGGCAAATTATCTAATACCAGTTGGATGAAAAGAAATACTAATTAGCGTTTGAAAATTGAAATTAGTACGCAATATTTCACTCCCACCCACCCCCTAGCTATTCAAATAGCTGCCCCTGAGCACAGAGTGATTTTTATGTACCCGTATAAACTGTGTGGGGAAAAGGCCCTTAATGAGACTAAGCCTCAGTAGTTGTAATTTCGTAAAAAATGCCCTGACAGAACTGTACTCGGAAAATATAGTTAGACTTTGCATTCTCCCACACCAGAGACTTTATTACTAAGTATATCGCATTAGTTAATGAAAGGCAGTCAAAGAAAAAGGCATTGAGAAAGGGGATATTTTAAACAATTAAAGATTGTCAGAAGTTCAGAACACTGTTTCCATGTACAGTAGCTAGCCGACACCAGATTGTTTATATTTCAATAATTTCATCATAGGCATATATTATACAATAATTATATTGCTTTTAAACCTTATTGATAAATAGTTTTGTTACTACTAATAAGGCAAGTGATTCGATTATGGTAATCTTTCACCATTCAGTACAGCCCTGCCCCACAGTGGAGCACTTTCAACCACAGGGTTGAACTCAGCGCTGTTAACCGGGTTGAATTTTTTTTAATTATATGGACAATTTCAACCCTGGGGTTGAAATGCTATATGTAATTCCCGGCATTGATTCCTGGGATTGAAAACAAAATATAATTTTCAATCCAAGGCCAAGTTCAACCAGGGGTTGAAATTTCAACCCTGCTAGCTGAAGCGGGGTTGGCCCTGGGTTGAAAATTTTGTCATGTAATCATGCATTTGATTATAATACTGTAGCATGCATTTTGTATTATAGATGGGGCTGAGTTCAACCCCAGAGTTCAAAATGCTCCATGTAATCGGCCCCTATTTAACCCATTAAGATTTAAGACTTTGATGTATCCTGATTTAACTTTATTTCTGTTGAATACCAGATGATATAAAATCATACATTTTTAAGATCAGGGGATACTCAGTCTTGGCCTTAATGGGTTAATACATCAACTAAAAATGTAATAAATAGTCACTGCACCATGGTTGCTCA